ATTAGTTTTTGTTTTCTTGCTTTTAGCCCCTTTTATTTTCTTTCCTGAAATTGCCGAACATGTAAAACACTTTTTCTTTGTACAATAAAGGTTATTGTTTGTCCACAAAAAGTGTGGCGTTTATAATCTTGTAGCAGCGTAACTCTTCAATTTATTTAGATGTATGAATAATTTCTTATTCAGTTGCTCATTAAGCCATTAAGTACAAAAAGGCAGCTACAACTGCTGGTCTAAACGAAGCAAGATTACTTATGCAATTATGTAATTATATATTAATTATTAGCAAGATACATTATGTCAGCTAAGTCAAGTTCAAAGCTGGAAGGTGCCTTTGTTTTCAAGGGCTCGATCACTATGGTAACCCATGCTGACCATATAACCTGGTTCAGAGTAGGTTATGTTCAGATTTGGGTCTAAAATTTGATTCAAATGCCACATTTACATTAATTTTATTTACAATACACTAAAAGTAATGTGTAGGGTTTTTTTTTTTGTTTTTTATTTGGGGGTTCTGTCAAGCTAGCTAAGCTTTAGCTGGATTGACTTTTTTCCCCATTCATATTATGTTTTGAGCCACATGCTGCCTAAACTGATCTCGATAAAACCACTGCACAAGATATTTTCTGCTCTCTTTAGTATAAAGAAGTATTCATAGTCAGGCCTACATCAGTAAAAAGCCATATAAATATGTGCAGAGATTTTGCAAGTAAGCAAAAACTATTTAAAATTTTAAGATTCAAAAACCTTTTCTAGGTCTAGAAATACTTTTAACTCTACTAGACTTTTTCACTCGTGTAGTGAGACTGGCATCTGTGCAAAAGGAATAACATTTTATATTTATTTATTGAATTTTAAACTGGAGTAGTTAGTGACTTTGTGCAATTTTCTCCCATTGAAAAACCATCCAGTGGGCTGAACTGAACTTTGGCAGGCTGGTTGTGGCCCCTGGTGGCATCGTGGGCCTACAGTAGTGGTTGGTTTTCAGACCTGAAACACACAGGATCAGAGAGTAGTAAAATCTTTTTGGTGTTTTCAGGAAAGAGTGTGTGATTTCACATGATGCCATGGTTAAATTGTTTGGGGATAGAAATAAGACTCATTGGTTGTAAAATTGCGCAATATTAACATTTTATTGCTCAGAATTGCCCTCAGGCAGCCCCATGTCCAGTAAACGTTTCATGAATGAGGGCATGGAAGTCACTGCCAGGCATCAGTTTAAGGTTAGGCTTCCTTTTCTAACACATAGTTTCAAGAGCACATGATGGAAAACGGAAGCAAGATTATTAGCTTTAGAAATCTTGTGTATAAAGGTGTGCAGAAGTCTTTCATTATGACAGCGATAAGTGGTTTGGACAAAAGGTTTTGAGCATGAAGTGAAAAAAAGGGGGTCTTTAAAGATTACTTCTTTGGTTATTGAAACTGTACATATCTACATCTGCGTGATAGTCAAATGATATCTTGATAGGTAGTCCTCAATCTAAATCACTATGCAGATATATTTCAAGTCTTTTTCTTCTTCTTTCAGCTGTTTCCTTTAGAGTCACCAAAGCAGGTATTGTCAGTTCTGCGATATGTACAGAACAAACACAGGATCAAAATATGATCTAGTTGTACTGTGTGCAACTAGAAAGAATTAATAATAAAATAAAATAGAAAGCTGTAACAATATGACATAAAACACAGTGGGATGCAAAAGTTTGGGCAACCTTGTTAATAGTCATTTTCCTGTATAAATCGTTGGTTGTTACAATAAAAAATGTCAGTTAAATATATCATATAGGAGACACACACAGTGATATTTGAGAAGTGAAATTAAGTTTATTGGATTTACAGAAAGTGTGCAATAATTGTTTAAACAAAATCAGGCAGGTTCATAAATTTGGGCACTGCTGTCATTTTATTGATTCCAAAACCTTTAGAACTAATTATTGGAACTCAAATTGGCTTGGTAAGCTCAGTGACCCCTGACCTACATACACAGGTCAATCCAATAATGAGAAAGAGTATTTAAGGGGGTCAATTGTAAGTTTCCCTCCTCTTTTAATTTTCTCTGAAGAGTAGCAACATGGGGGTCTCAAAGCAACTCTCAAATGACCTGAAGACAAAGATTGTTCACCATCATGGTTCAGGGGAAGGATACAGGAAGCAGTCTCAGAGATTTAAGCTGTCTGTTTCCACAGTTAGGAACATATTAAGAAAATGGAAGACCACTCAGTTCAAGTTAAGGCTCGAAGTGGCAGACCAAGAAAAATCTCAGATAGACAGAAGCGATGACTGGTGAGAACAGTCAGAGTCAACCCACAGACCAGCAGCAAAGATCTACAACATCATCTTGCAGCAGACGGAGTCACTGTGCATTGCTCAACCATTCGGCGCACTTTACACAAGGAGATGCTGTGTATGAGAGTGATGCAGAGGAAGCTTTTTCTCCGCCCACAGCACAAACAGAGCCGCTTGAGGTATGCTAAAGCACATTTGGACAAGCCAGCTTCATTCTGGAATAAGGTGCTGTGGACTGATCAAACTAAAACTGAGTTATTTGGGCATAACAAGGGGTGTTATGTCATTCCAAGAAAAACACCTGCTACCTACAGTAAAATATGGTGCTGGTTCCATCATGCTGTGGGGCTGTGTGGCCACTGCAGGGACTGGGAATCTTGTCAAAGTTGAGGGACACATGGATTCCACTCAGTATCAGCAGATTCTGGAGACCAATGTCCAGGAATCAGTGACAAAGCTGAAGCTGCGCCGGGGCTGGATCTTTCAACAAGACAACGACCCGAAACACTGCTCAAAATCCACTAAGGCATTCATGCAGAGGAACAAGTACAACGCTCTGGAACGGCCATCTCAGTCCCCAGACCTGAATGTTATTGAAAATCTGTGGTGTGAGTTAAAGAGAGCTGTCCATGCTCGGAAGCCATCAACCTGAATGAACTAGAGATGTTTTGTAAAGAGGAATGGTCCAAAATACCTTCAACCACAATCCAGACTCTCATTGGAACATACAGGAAGCGTTTAGAGGCTGTAATTTCTGCAAAAGGCGGACCTACTAAATATTGATTTCATTTCATTTTTTTTTTTTTTTTTTTTGTGGTGCCTAAATTTATGCACCTGCCTGATTTTGTAGCATGGGAGATGGGTGGTCTCGTAGGGTGTTTTGCATTGAAATCTGCTGCAGTGACCCGGTTACTGAGTTCACCAGATATCAACACAATTTCGATCCGCTCCTCACGTGTTAACCTCTTCGACATGTCAATGGCTGTGAACAAAGAGAAACTTGTAAATAACTCACGAAAGAATAAAGTTACATTGAAACCAAGCACACCATTGTTTTTCTTGTGACATTACCAATAAGTCTGATGTGTCACATGGCCCTCTTCCTATTGAAAAAAAACAAAAGTTATGTCCAAGATGGCTGACTTCTAAATGGTCACCATGGTCACCACCCATCTTGAGGAGTTTGCCCCCTCACATATACTAATGTGCCACAAACAGGACTTTAATATCACCAACCATTCCCATTTTATTACGGTGTATCCATATAAATGGCCCACCCTGTATATTACTTTCAATGCTGATCATGACATTTTAATTCAAATGCTCTGTGATTTGGTTGGTTTTCATCACACCTAAAAGATAGAAGTGTTTATGGTCCAGTTAGTACCTTCAGTTAGATCTGGAGAAATAGAGATTTAGTCAGGGGTTCCTCAGGGATCAGCTCTTGGTCCAGTACTCTTTAACCTTTACATGTTTTGCATGGTACTATCAGAAAGAAGTTAATGGCCATTAACTTAGAAGTTTCTAAGTTAATGGCATTAACTTAGAAAAAAAACCCAAACTTAGATAATTCATATCTCTAACTGACTTCCGAGAAACTGTTTAATTTGGAGGACTATCCAAATCATCAGTAGGATGACTTCAACTCGTTTGGAATGCAGCAGCCACAGTCCTTACACACACATGGAAAAGTTACCATCCAGTTAAAAGATCTGCTCTTGAAGACCTGACAGGTTTAGTAGGGTTTTAGACACTGAGCAAGTCATAGACGATAGGTGCACCCATCCATTTTCTTCCACTTTTCCAGTTCAGGGTCACAGGGAGACAGCACTGCAGCCTATCCCAGCTGTCACGGGGCAGGGTATACCCTGGACAGGTTACCAGTCTATCACAGGGCTAACAGAGAGAGACAGGCAAATATTCACACATTCACACCTAGTTTAGAGTTGGTAGTTAACCTAACCCCACTACCCAGATGTCTTTGGGGTGTGGGAGGAAGCCGGAGAACCCAAACAGACTGATATTTGACAGTATTATCTGTTTGATCCCAGTTCAACACAAAATTACCTTTAAAATCCTTTTACTAGTTCATTAAGCACTCAGTGATTTGGCCCAATAGTACATCGATGACTTGCTCAGTGTCCATAACCCTACTAGACTTTTCAGGTCACCAAGTCCGATCTTTTAACTGCTGCCAGAATTAGATCTAAGTGTGCTGATGATGCTTTTAGTTATTGTGGTCCTGTTTACTGGAACAATCTGAACTGATCTCTGCATACATTTAAACACAGACTCAGAAACGTTTTATGTTAAAAGCTCTACATTTAACTCTCTTTGTGTGTGTGTGTTTTAACTTATATTTTACTTCTTTGTAAAAATGTGCTATATCAGTTTTATTGTATAAAAATTGTATATTCGTTGTATATTCCTGTTTATGCTTTATGTGTAAAAATCTGAGCCATACAAGGATTCTTGCAGATATATGCATTATTGCAGTTTAAAATAAAACTAAAGCCTAAGTTAAATAGTAAAAAGCCTATAAGCATTATGACCATTTTGACCATTAGATGAAAATATAATTTTCTTTTCTTTTACTAGCATGTGTTTGAAAAGCTTTTCTCCTTAACCTTACTGAGAAATACCGCTAGGTGGTGTAATAAAGCAAGTCGTGGCCTCCGTTACAGAGGCGCAAAGCGGCGATGCTCCAGCTCAACCGAGCCCAGCCCCCCACACGGCAAACCGGCCTGCCTCGGTGCAACAGGGGAGGTAAGCGCGGCTGCGCACGGAGCTCCAGCACTTGCTACTGGCATTTTCACGCACGTCGGACTAAAAGAAAACTAACTGGGAAGTTTATTTGGATAATTTTGAGATGTCGCTAATATACCCCAAAGGCCGGCGTTTTCCATAGGTTTTATTATATCAGTATTAGCTAACGGCAGCTAGGCACAAAGACGTGCAGTCATCTATACTAGCCGATGCTGGCTAACTAACTAGCTTGAGGACATCCTACTATCATACTCGGGTTAATCTCTGCTGACTCGCTCTCTGTGCTGCGTTAGCTGTTTCGTTGTAGCCGTTTTATCTGTACCACAAGTCAAGTGGCTGTGTGTGTTTTTTGCAGTCGCCATTCATGAGTGCGACACTTGGAGCAGCCTTTCTGCGTAGCGGGCTTGTTTCGTGGTGCATGTTTTCCAGCTAGCCGCGGCAGAGCTCGGGTCTGATTCGGGGGATGTGGTGGCAGTAGAAAAACAAGCTAACGATACTCTCGTCAGTACGAAGAAGTGAGGAAACACTTGATCCGAGTGGGAGTTCTCGTTTTCTTTTTTTCGTTCATTATTTCTTTTTTTTTCGTTGTTGTTTACGTTGATCGTGATCCCGGGCTGGATGACGCTGACGCGGACCTGACAATCACTGGACACGGCTGAACTGAAACGGGGAATATCGCTAACAGATCGAAAGGATTATTTTGTGTCCCTTAAGTGGATTTCGGCCTCTTGTTAAGGATCTTCGTGTGAGCACAGCAAGTGTTTGACCCTCCAGCAAAAATACCCTCTCTCCTAGAGCGACCTTTTACCCCCACAGCTTCACCCTCCGATGCGGAGATTGCAGTAGCACCGGCAACCAGACCCCCCTCCCCTCCGGCGGCCGGACATGCTGAAGTGTATCCCCCTGTGGCGCTGCAACCGCCACGTCGAGTCGGTGGACAAGCGGCATTGCAACTTGCAGACGGTTCCTGATGAAATATTTCGATACAGCCGCAGTTTGGAGGAGCTTCTCCTTGATGCCAATCAACTCAAAGAGCTACCAAAGGTATGCAGAGAATTTAAAACACCCATATACCAATACCCAGAGGGTGAGTCAGTACATGTCACTGCGCCAAATCCACATTTGCTAACAGTTGAGAATCACTCACCTGTTGTAGAGAAAAAAGGTGACATAACCAATAAAGCAGTTTGCATAATGTCAGCTGCTCAGGTACTTCCTCCTTATCAGTGCTGCCTCATTCCTTGCTTGGAAATGAGTTGCAGTGTTGTAACAACACATTCATTACAAAGTTGTGCTGCACATATGTTAGTGGATAGTGGGGCCAGTAATCAGTCCTTCTACAGTCAAAGCCATTAGTTGGTGTTACCTTATTTGCAATGGATTTATCTTGGCTTTTCTATTTTTTAAGTATATAAGTGAATTAAATCCTAAGTAAAAAAAAAAACAAAAAACCCCAATCCAGTATCATTTGTGTGTTTTTTGTCAAGAACAGTAGAGTGCTGATAAGCCAGAGTTTATCAATAGAAGAAAAAGTAGAGTATGGCGTAAATACTGGGGTGTTATTGTCTGTTAAGAAGAGTATAGAGGGTAGATGGACTAGCTCGGATCAAAACAGCTGGCATGCACAGTGTTGCCTGTAGCATTGGCCAGTTGGATTGGATGCAGCCTCTTGAAGGCATGCGTGGAATGACTTGCAAAGCCATCCCCACCCACACTCCCACAGTTTGAAATATGACAAAAGTTCTCTTTGCACTGCTCAGTTTATTTTAAGGGGAGCAGGACTGCTGTCGGTATGATTTCTTCAGACTTGCGGAACAAAACATTTGCTTCTTGCCTCTCAAGTGTTTAGTTGAAAACATTGTTCATCGGTAAGACCAGTGATTATCGTGATCGTCATGTTGCTGGGAGTATGTATGAATAGACATTGTCTGTCTTTATTTCACAACTTTAGCTTTAGTGGTGAAAGGGACGAGTGGCATATTCACCGATAAAGATTGTTAACAACTCAAGGTCAGCCGAGGCTGAAGTGTTGGCACCGGACCACCTGGGAATCAAAACACAATAGAGCTTTTTGTTATTTTCTCAGAGCAGTAGATACACATTCATTGCAGGAACCACTGTTGACCATTTATCCTACAGTCTTTTGGTAAATAAAACTGATATTCAAGACAAGAAAAAGGGGACAACCATTATCATATTTTCATATAAAGTAGCTTTGCATGATTGAAAGTTTAAAATAATCCACATTTATCTTACACTGTGCATTGGTGCAGCCCTTGAGATTGTAACCGTTTGAAATAAGCCGCTTTAGTTTCCTTTACTATCCAGTCAGAGCCAGGTTTTTGTGATTGGCTGTCTCTTGCAAACAGAGAGACAGCCTATCACTGTCTCGCTGTAATCAGTCATCAAGGATCCAAGTTAAACTTTACCTTAATAAGGTAAAAAAAAAAAAACCTTAAAATTTTTCTGTTCCACCCCACAGTCTGAGAACTACAGGTGTAGACTTATTTGGGCAATTTTTGTATTTTATTTCCTTTTCTTCCCTTAGTTTTTTTTAAACTACACTCTTACTGCCTTAGGAATTAAAATCTTGTAGGTTTTCTATTGTGCATGGAGAAAAAAATCAGCTGAACTATCTTAGCCTAGTTTGCCTGATTAGGTTCACTGGCAGACAGAGTGCTTTTCCTCAACTTCGTACCTGACAGACATCCACGGTGTACCTGGTTCCTGTCCTCTGAAACACAGAGTGACAGGCTTTAATCGAGAGACATAAATGTGTGGTGACAGAATGTCTCCTGTGGTCACGGTGAATGCGTAGCGTGCAGACACGAAGCATCTGGGTGCTCTGTGGTCCTCAGAATCAGCGGGGCTTCAGCGAGGAAGCAGCGCGAGGGGGTCAGGTCAATACAGGGTTGGAAACAAGGACACTGACTGTATGATGAATGGCATTGCCACTATGAGCTCACAGCTGAGTGCCTCTGTGCAGTTCTGTGCTCCTGCCCTGTCACTATGTATTCAAGTCAGAGATGACTCTCTGGACCTACTAGTCAGTCTTCAGCTATTTTTAGACTCAGTCTCACATCCTAGTTGTTTGTTTGTTTTTTCTTCTGTTGCTCATCAGTTCATCATGTGCGTCTGTGAACGAGCCAACCTTTCATATGACAAACAGCCTGGACAGCCTGGCCTGCTTTTTTCCTGCACCACCATGTACAACATGTGCCATAGATGGAGAATAATTGGCTCAGGGGGTGACACCTCTGCAAACTGTCACTTCTTTTAAATTAGCAAAGACGCGCTGGCCAGGTGTGTGTGTGTATGTGATAGGTAACGTATTGAAAAAGATTCAAGCACCTTTTCACAAACTATAGATGCTGAAATGCAGTTAACTGCTTTTAAATTGGTAGTGAAGAATAAAGCAGTCAAGATGTAGCAGTAATTAGTGTCACGCTGGGTGTGCATGGGTCTGGATGCTGTTGGTAGGGGTTTAACGGCGTGAACAGATGGGAGATTTGCACGGCCCATCCTGACAGTTTCTTAAGTTTGCTATGACTCGGCCCCAACCGCACTGCTCGCTGTTATCTCTGGTGATGATGTCTCCCATTTCCTAATTCAACAGCATCTTATCTGGGCACTGATTATTTTATGTAGAACAGTAATAGCATTAAGTTTGACTTATGTGTGTGGACTGGGTTTAGAGAGCCTTTAAGTCAACCACTGGATGGGGATTCCCCACATGTTCATACATCCTTAGTTGTTAATGCCACTCTCTTTTTCATGACAGGGAGTCCTTAATCATGCATTTGTTTTGCTGCTGGGTTCCTTATTGTGTAAATTACCATGTAGTTTGACTGTCAGGGTTTTCCTGACTTAAGACGGGCCTTTGGTGGGTGACTACACATGTAAGCTGGATTTGTCTGCAGAAAACTTCTAGGAAAACCCCGAGTATAAAAGGCCAAATTCTCCTGAATCCAAAGCAATGCTAGAGAAATCATTGATCTTAATTAAAGTTTAATAAAAGTCATAAATTGTAAAATGAAATGTAGTAGTCTCTCTACTTTCAGCTCTGTATTCTCAGCAAGGATGTTTGCTGTCTGAATTTCTTTTTAGCCGCTTTGAAAAACTAGCCTAGGCTGGAATATCATATGGAGGAAGAGGGAATAATCTTTTTAGCCACTCTCAAGTCCCATGACAGGTTACAAAGAAGTCCATTCACCCATCTGATTTCCTCCCATATCCAATGTCATAGCTCTTCATGTTTCCTGTGTGCTCTGTGTTGGCCTTCACCAGGCTTACACTAAATTTGCAGGCATATCATGATTCAAATGATCAATTTTAAGATTGTGTGTGTGTGTGTGTGTGTGTGTGTGTGTATGTGTGTGTGTGTGTGTATCAGTTACACCTGCCAAAATCAAACAGCAGGTTGCTGCTGTTTGCAGCTTTTCAATATATGCACTTGCTCTTGCTCTTGCTCTTCTATTGTTGAACTAGGGAACAAATCCTAACTGGGTGTGCCCCGGTAAGACTTTGCCAAACAGGTTTTATGCATGTCACTGCCGGTGTTGTTGCCTAATAGGGCCTTCCAGGTACAACTGAAGGTAAATGTTACAATAATTTATATGATTTGCTGTCTCAACACTGCTCAAAACCAGTTGTATGACGAATATGTTATTAAATAAGTGCATTATTTAGTTGTCTGTCATAGCTGTGAATGCACTGCTTTCTTGTTTATCTCCTTGACTGAATAAACTTGTAAGGTTTTATTTTAACTTGGTAAAGTTATGAGTGCAGATATTTAGTTTTGAATGGAGACAGGATGTAAACATGCTTGTTAAATAGGATGGGTGACGTTGTAGTCTTTTAAATCCTCAGCTGTCACCCTCTCTGTATGTGCTGACAGATCTGTGGCTAAAGGGCAGATTAGGGCTTCACCCGGCCATGAAAAAGCCCCGCAGCGCAACAGTTGTGACCCCTGCATGCAAGCCGGCTCGCCTCTGCGCACACTTCCTGTGGTATCTGCTTCTTTGCCACTTTGCGAATGTAAAATGCATTGATAAACATCTTGAGCGCCATTCTCCTGACTCCCTTGTGTTTATTCGGCCTTCGGTCAAATGAAACCCAAAGTGGCCTATTCACTTAACCTTGACTAAATGTGAATCAGTTTACACGAGTTTGAATGGGCAAGTGTATCTTATGGAAAAGCGATTGTACCCATCTTCTGTGTAATCCTTAATAAAGGTGTAAGAGAACATCACCCTGACTGGAATTTATAGCCTGAAGTGGGATGCTCACTAAGTTTTAGTGTCATAATCTAGGACGTGTATATTTCACCCTGTGTCCTCTTGAGTTATGCATTCTGTCTTGCCTCCCCGAGTTTCCAGTTAACTTTACAGTGGAGTCCTGGTTTGTCTCTCCCCTGCGACTAGCTGAAGTAGGCTAGGGCCAAAGATAAATTGCACCTGCCGGTGGCCTCTCTGCGGTAAAACGAAATCTGGCTTTTCTGCTTTCCTGCTGTTCATAACGTAGGGTAAAGCCGTTGTCCACACAGTGTAAACGTGTCCACATCTTAAGACAAACAGTAATATCTCCTCTTTGTGAAATTGACCCACCCCACTGTGGTTGTGAGAAAGCAGAAGTAATATTTTGCAATCACTGTTATCGTCATCATAATCACCACCCCGCTTAAAATTGAAAACACATCCAGAGCTGGTGAGACTATGAAGAAAGAGCAATGTGAGAGGTCGGTTTCTTTTCGATGCACAAGCTCATTCAGCAGGTTTCTTTGTCTGAGCTGATGACCAGCTGGTCTCACATCCTGCCTGCCCCTCCCCCTCAATCTAGTGGGACAGAGGGGTAATGGGAGGTGTATGTCTGAGCGAGAGAGTGAGTATATAGTGGTGATTGGAGGGGGTTATTCCGGAGATGGATTAACAGTAGTAGGGGGGTTCTGTGAGTTGAGCTGAGCTCCACTCATCCTCACTCCTCTGGGGGTCTGGTGGGGTCATTCATCAGTCCATGACGTGCAGTGTCAGGTGGGAAAGAAGAAG